CAGTACTGTGCATTGTAATTGAAATTTGTTCCTTGTAAGGATATAAAAATAGTTTCTAATAACTTTTTTTCCCAAACGTATATAATAATTGCTTATCTTCGAAAACGAACATTATTTTGTTATAATTTAAACAGTATAGATTAAAATTAGGCTAATTAATTATATGATACACATTGAATTTAGATTTATTAAATATTTAAATGTCTATACTTTTTGTAATTAAGAATGAATAATAAACCCACTATTGTGCCTTTTGTAATCAAATGTATAACATATAAATACAATAATTTGCAAAATGAATATAATTGACATGAGATTTAGCAATTGTAATTATATTTTTGATACATTTAAATGAAATTATTGAAGCTTTGAAGTATTTTAAAAGATAAATTGCGAGACTAAATTACTACAAGTCATCAATTTATTCCGATACGAAAAGTAACGTTTTAAGAAAGTCTTCGATGGGGTTCGAATCAAAAAGCGCTAGTTTTCAAAGGGCTGACTCGCAGGTGCTCCCCGATCGCTGTTACATAATGCAGAGGACAAGCTGGAATCTAATATATACAAGCTCGGCGAAATCCCGTCAGAAGAAAATAGTTCGGTCTGCAGTTTCCCTGAATATGCGAATGATTTTATGCCCGACGCCGAAATTGGCCTTAAGTATAAGAGGAATTGATTTTACTTTAGAGGTATAGGAAATAAAGATGTGCACGTTTCAGAAGAAGCCGTGGTATGGTGCCTTCTGATATGCAAACGCGATACGACCAGTAATAAAGATCCTTTGTATAACTGTCAAAGTAGTATATTCACTGTTTTGTCAATAGATAGCACATTACGTCCGAATCAATGATTTATTCATTGTGTAAGACATTATTCTTGAACTTTGTTTGTAGCCTACATGAACAGATATTTTATGTATTTCAGATAACACACGCAATGTGTACGAAGATTTTGAAGTTCACTTTATACTACCGATAATATATCTTTATGGAAACTTGAGAAACGACTATTAAACAGTCCCAACTAGTTTTAATAATTTTGATTAATAATAATAATAAAAATTCAACTTCCCATTTGTGTTATTTTTATACGTAACTTTATCCATTTTTGGCACACGCGATTTATTTATTCTTCGCTGCTTATTATTGCCTAGATGTAGGAAAGTTTTTCGCTAAATATTTATCCAAACCTATACTATTCCACAATAAAAGAGTCCTTTGATATCAAAGTCCTCCAACTTTTCAAGATTTAACTACATTTTCTTCTTTCACTTGCCCCCCACATTTTCCAAGTGTTTGTATATTTGATACATATTTTTTATGATAATTTCTTTCCTAAATATTATGGATCTACTTAACTTGGTATTTATTTACCTATTTATTTATGGAACTTGACAATAATACAATCACTATTTTTATTTAGTGTTGATATATTTATTTTACAACAAACTAAATAGTGCTGTTTGAACATACAAATAAAATTTTTAAAAAACCCAGGTACATTTTATTTTAAAAAACTAAAATTATTTATATTGATAACTTATTTATATTAAAAATACCTATTTATAATATTTCTTAAATATTTATAAATAAAAAAAAATCATACTTTGACAATTATTCTAATAGATCTTTGTATGTTTATTTAAAAATAAGAATATTAAAAAAATAATATACTTTCACAATAACTTCATTATCCATATACAGTCTATATTATTTCTAGTATGTTTCATTTCATACACGATGTATATGGTAAAAAATTAAAAAATAGAAACATGCGGGAAATCGTGTATCTGACATGAAGGTGTAATAAAACGAAAACACGTGTCACATATTTTTCTGTAAAATGATTGGATTTGAAAAATGAGGCCCGTACACACGCTTTTTATTATTTCCTCTCCCTCGTCCATATAACATACACGTATCGCTGAAAATACACATTTTCTGGCGGAGCTTGCATTTGGATAATCACCAAATATGTGAATAATGTAAACCCAGCGAAATTCAATCAATTAGCAAATGTAAAGCAGATGGAATACATCAATGTTGGTGACATATGCCAGAAAAGCCTCGCACGTTAAATAAAATATCAAATCTGATGCCAATATCAATAACAGCCCGTGATGTGCAGACAGTTTTTTTTTTGTTATCGTATAATTTGAAGCTCTCTTCCACCATTTCGGTTAAATCTTCTCGATCGACAATTTACAACAGCTGGTCTGCGATAAATACACAGTTAAATATAGTTGCAGAAATTGGACGAAGCTTTACAATTGTGAATCAGAATTAGCAATAATAATCTGCAAATCGATCTTAATTATAATTATAATACGATGAATCTCGGAATTATGTGCATGTGCGGTTCGAAATACAGCAATAAATATCTGAAAGTGAAGCGTGCTCTCCTTACTAAAGTTTATTATCCCAATTACGGCGGCTAATTGCATTTACCCAAACCTAATCCGAATCTAAGTTAGGTAAATTTAATTTGTTCCAAAACTATTGTCTCTAACTGTGTTGCCACAATTAGTTCATTGACGAAGGACTCGGAAAGAAACGTGCGGAATACGACGGCAACAGAAATTTAAAAAAACTGTTCTAATTAACGTACTTAACGATACATTGCATTCACGCCGTCATTGGTGCGCAAATGCCGATATCATTTTGCTGTAATTGTTGTTTCTTTTTTTCGCGTGGGTTGTCTCTGCGCGTATAACGATTTTCCTTCTGCACGTTTCATCTCGTTTTATTTTGTTTTCACTTCTTCGTTGTACTTACATTGTTGATGCGTTGAAATTATGTGATTAATAAATGAGATGCCCTGTGAATAATAAATAATGTAGGGAGGCGAGTGATGAGAACATCCAACGATGAGAACTTCATCCGAGCTTTATCCTTCTCGCGCGCCGCGAAAACAAATGCGTTATTAATAACAAATGCGGGATGAGAGGAGTTCCGTGATGGGATCGGTGCGGTTGTTAATTGTCGTGCTGACATTCGACTTAAGGCTTCTTTCGGAATTATCTGCCTTAGCCGTGGCAAGAATGCGCGGATACTGAACAGCAACAGGAAGAAGAAATGGAAGATTTGGAGGAGGAGAAAGACTAAATGAAGCAAAAGAAGAATGTACAAAAAAAAATGCAACACTTGCTCGAATTGCAGACGTGGCACAGTGGAATGAAATTAATTAAGCGTTCATGGATCAATGAGACTGCAAGTATTCTATTAGGCCGACGTTGATACTGTTTTTCTGATGTAGATGGGATGAAAACAAGAATATATTTATATTTCTGTTGTTGTTATCGTTGTCGCCGTTATTTTTTTCTCTCTATTTACCTCTGAAGTGTGCTTCCATCAATGAAACCTACTCGCTCTATTATTAATTGTCCACGCACTCTTCGCAATTTCCCGTTCATCGTATTTTTATATTTGCGAATCCTTTTGCTCCGGTTCCTCTACATCACGTATAAATAATTCTGTTATTTCCAACAATCCACTCGCTATTAATAACCCGTTTTTAACCTCGCGGTGTTCGCGCTATTTATAAGTTTAATAATTTTAACCTCCTACTAAGTTGTAATATATAGACACATCGTGTTACATACAGAATGTGTCGTCTCCAACTGGCACATCTGGATGCGTAAGATGTGTTTATAAATCTATTGCTCATCCGTATAAAAACAGATTAAAAGGAGAAATGCAGAAGACAATTTAAAAATGTGAAACGATAATGACAGATGATGATTCACTTGCAATGCGAAATGCAGCTTCTTCTTCCATGCTTTATATGAATGCATTACTTTATATCAACAATTAATGTAACTTCGATATTTTCTTCAAAATTTGAAACCAACGTGCTTTTAATAGAATAAATAAAAAATTTACCTCCTGTACTTTAAAAGTAAAAATAGGTAAAACAGCACATATGGTCGAACTATAATTGTTATGTTAATATTAGTAATTAGTATATTATTAAAACTTTATTTTAGGAAGACAAATAAAATTATACTACTCCACATATGTTACAATATAAATATTACAAGATCGAGGTTTTATTGAGGAATATCAGCAAAATGTTCTACATTCTAATCAAAACAGACTGCACGACTAATTAATGGCAAACATCAATGAAAATAGTCATTTTAATCATAATGCTATTATGTTATTTTAATAAAATTGCATACAGAATAATTGTATTGTGTTTTAATTACTATAAAATAGTTACTCAAAAATATATGTATAATCATGTACTTTGTGGCTAACACAATAACTAAACAGGTACAGGTACTAAAAAGTATCTGTCATTTATCCAATTTAACGCACTAGTCCCAAGTTCATATTGCGGTTACCTTGATTGTAATATTTAATGTCAATTTAATACGAAATTTTGTACTCTATCTAACGCTTTGGATTAGTAAAGAAATATGAAACATAAAACTTGACAAGAAAAATATATATGCAATAATTTATCCTCGTTTTATTTCGCACAACTTTCTTTAGTTTTTGATTTATGAATAATTTTACATGCATGAAATTAATGACTTTCTTTTCTTTTAAAAGGAAAGTACGTAAGTATTATTTGTGACCGTTCGAAGTTTGTCAGTTCACAAAAAAAAAGAACGATTCACATTTTTCCATGCTTTTTAAACTAAGCTGCATAAACGTAAAAATAGATGTAATAAAGTGACATAATTTACTTCTCGTTACTTATTATCTGTGACATTTTTCACTATAATCTGTAAAATGTCTGGTACTGCGCTTTCTTGCGCTACTTTTTCTTACATTAATTTCATTTTATTCTGGTTTGTCGCACATTTCTCCTGCACTCCCGACACGAGCGAGTTCCAATTTTAAATTATGCCAAAATGCATAAATTTAAACAGGCTTCCTTTCCGCTCCTTCGTTGTTGTTCCTTTTTTTTTTTCATTCTCTCGCGGTTTTTAATAAATCTTCTTGATTTAGTATGTTCAATAATTTGCTAAAATACTTTCATCCCGATTTCAGCGCCATGAAGATTCTGCTTGCAAAACTACCGAGACCGTGGATCGTGGATGAGAAGAAGGACGATGGATACACGGCTCTCCATTTGGCAGCGCTCAACAATCATGTTGAGGTGGCAGAGCAGCTTGTCCTCAATGGAAAAGCCAACATGGATTTGCAGAACGTCAACTTGCAGACAGCATTGCATCTAGCGGTAGAGCGTCAGCATACCCAAATAGTCAGGGTAGGATTGGCAACATACGAAGATCTGATTGTCAAGAATATTTTCTCATGTATAATTTTGTTTGTAGCTGCTGGTTCGTGAGGGTGCCAATTTGAATATCGCCGATAAGGATGGGGACACCCCGCTGCACGAGGCTCTCCGACATCATACGTTGTCGCAACTGCGCCAATTACAGGACGTCCACGATGTTGGTAAACTCCTGATGGGCCTTGGAACGCAGGGTTCCGATAAGAAATCTTCTGCAAGCATCGCATGCTTTTTGGCCGGTAACGGTGCTGATTTGACTATTAAAAATAAGAAGGGTCAAACACCGTTGGACCTCTGCCCTGATCCGAATCTATGCAAAACTCTCACCAAATGCTACAAAGAGAAGCAGAGTGGCGAAATGGACATGGGCCCACAGTGCAATACGAACACCAACAACACTTCCACCGTGGAAGAATGCCTGGTCTGTTCCGATGCCAAGCGAGATATGTTATTCCAACCTTGCGGACATGTCGCATGCTGCAACGCATGTGCTTCGAGAGTAAAGAAATGTTTGATTTGCCGTGAAAATGTATCGAACAGAATTAAGGTAATTAATTTGATTTGCAAAGTACGACAAATCATTGGTTGTTTGATTAATTTCATATTTTTTTTTAATTTTATTGAAAATTTAAATCAGTACTAAAAATTAAAAGTATACTTCTTATTTTCATTTTTTTTTAAGTTAGACGTTTTATTTGCTAATAATAACTTTGAATACTTTTATTACAAGACTATAAATGTGACGAATGGTTTTGGATCTCAGGTTATCACAATAACCAAATATTGCTAGGTACATATATTAAAAGTCTAAAATGCTTATGCAGTGTCAATTTAAGAATTAAAGTAGTGCACTTCATTTTCAGATGTAATGAAATATCAACTACCTTAGTTCATTTCTTAACACGTTATATCCTGATATAACCTTAACATTTCATTCGCTTTACTTTAGAGTTTTCCACAAAAATAGAATTTTCGATAATATATGTGCATATTTTTTTAATTTGATGAAATCTGAAAACGTTATGTTATCATACTAAATTGTTTGTTACAAATTCGTGCATTATTATATTTGCAACGAAATCTTCTACATGATTGAATATTTAAAAAAAAAATACGTTTTATATAGCCTAAATTTTATAAAAAAATAAGAATAGTGGATAATTGAATAAAATCGGGTTTTTAATTATATAAGAAAATATCATCATAGATTAACAACTGTTTTGTTGTCATGTAATATATCAAAATAATAAAGGTTTAAGGTTTATTTATTTTGTATATGTAAATGATGGGTATCTTCTTTTTCACCAGATCGAGGAATGCATGGTCTGCTCCGATAGAAAAGCATCGGTCCTTTTCAAACCTTGCGGCCATATGTGTGCTTGTGAAAGCTGCTCCCAGATCATGAAAAAATGTGTGCAATGCCGTTCGCACATTGATCTTATAATGCCCATGAGCGTTTGCTCCGGAGGTCTAGGAACGATTTCTGAAGTGAAGAGCGATAGCGAAGAAGAGGCTGCCCCGAAGCCGTCCACCAGCGACGCAGCACAGGGTCCGATTATGAACAACGGTGGACGCGATGCCAGTGATATCCAGAAATTGAAGCAGCAATTGCAGGACATCAAGGAACAAGTAATTATAATTTATTGCCCAACTTCCATACGACTATGTTTTCTAACGCCTGCATTCTTTTTTCTCTTTCTTTTTTCCCTCAGACAATGTGTCCCGTTTGCTTGGACCGTTTGAAGAACATGATCTTCCTCTGCGGTCATGGATTGTGCCAGATGTGCGGAGACCAAATGGTCGAGTGCCCTATCTGCCGCAAGGCCGTCGAAAAACGCATCCTCTTGTACTAGAAGGCAATCGTAAATAATAATTAGTCCCATGGTGGGACTACCGTCACCGTATTAGAAGCTTGCTTTTCCAGCGGCGCAATATGGTTCTGTTTCATTTAATTTTAGTTTCGTTTTACCTAAACACAGTTGTTATTATTATCATAGCAAATTTGGATGACTTTCAAAAGCGCAACACTCTTCTATGTATTTGTACTAATTTTAGAACTGGTAGATTTCTTTTTTTATATATATATTCTAGAGCTAAATGTTTATCTAAATGTCGTGTCCGCTGTCATTTAAATAATCTTGTTTGGTCGTGGTTTTAGTGGAATTTCTAAAATTAGTAAATTAATAGTAATTTAATTTTAGGACTTCTTTTTATTAGAAATATATGTTAGCATAGTGACTTAGCGTATTTGTTGTAAATGTTCGTATACGGCATACAATATAACCATAGTTTTTCTTATTTAATCTGCGGGTTATTATACTATAATTATGTATGGGATGAGTCTGTATACTAACTAAAACGACTCTTCAAAACTATCGCATTGCTGGAATAATATTTTGGAGATTGCTTTATTATTTGATATTATCCTTAGTATATAACTGTTTAAGCTAGTGTGTATTATCATAGATTAGTTTTAATCGATAACTGTCTTACAATTAAATTAATTACTTTATGATTTAATTAACAGCAGTTTTTTTATAATAATATTATTACCCGTCTCTCTGTATCTTTAAGTTATTTGATTTGTATTTAATTATTCTTTATTAGTATTTACTACAATTATTGACTGGTCTGTATTAGGACTAACCTATGTTAATAAGCATGAGGTTGATTGTTAATACGTATGTAATTATTAATTTGAATTTTTGAAACTAAATTTTGAAATAAATGATATTAATCCGTATATAAATTTATATATAATATCCTTTATCATATAGAATTAATTAATTATATTTATAATCGAAATAAATTATTAAAGTAATATAAAGATTTTTGTAAACCTCTCATTAAATGTTTTTGGTTAAAATTAATATTGAGGTAAGTAAATAATAATATTATATATCAATAATAATAGTATATTTCAAATAAATTAACAATTTGTCAATTAGCTTCTATCACTTCCCCTTAGAAGTTTCACAATTATTCCCAATGATTTGTACATTATGTTAGCGAATATTTAAAATACTGCACAGGTATCCCGTAAGTCGAATTATAGTTAAATCGTAAAGTGAAAACTTATTTTAAAGACGCAGTATAATAAATATTTTTCCTGAATATTATGTTTTTAATTGTTAATCACTATTACAAACTATTAATATATAGATAAAGAATAGATGTCAATCATTAAATGTTGCTATACACATTTCACCGCCACCGCATTTTTAATTTTTTACAGTAATTTCTAATATTTCTTCATTCTTGACTTCTTCAATAAGATCGTTTATTCAATTTCTAAAGAAATTACTGTTGTTTATATTTATTTAAGATATCAGATAATCTAGACATAACAAAAATGAAACCCTTAATTTTAAAATACTACAACATATTTTCTTCTTACTCCAATTTTTATTTTAAATACACTACTATTATGATACGTTTGACCGATTTGCACCGTCCTTATTTTACGAGTATTGGAAGTTAAATAGTTTTTTAATAAATATCAGTTACTAAATAATAATATTTGAATTGTTGCAAAGGTCACTTAATAATAATATTTATTGAAACAAGACAAAAAATCAATAAAAATAATAAAACAAGAAAAGATTAATCAAAGGGCTATTAGCAATAGGTCTTTCTGCCAAAATATCAGTTATTTATAGTTTATTATACAGTGGAGACATTTCTCTTACTAAATTGTTGCTCGTTTAGCGAAGTGCTGGTTAAGGGAGGTTCCACTGTATTGTGTATCAAACTAGAAAATGAATAAAAATAATCTTATCTGTCTTCTTTATCTTTTTTACCAAAATTGCTTTATGTAGTACATCAGTGATTCTCAAAGTGGGACCCCAGGGGGGTTGCCAAAACTATTTAGGGGGTCACAGAAAAATTGATGACAGATGTGTATAATAGGTATTTGTAGAAAATATCCCGTCCCGATGGTTTTCTATACATACCGATTCGCGGGGGGGGGGCTTATTTTGGTACCTTGTAAGTGCAAAATTGGGACCCAGACAAAAAAGTTTCAGAAACACTGTAATATATGATATAAATATACAAGCGGTGGCAATCGATGTTCAAAATCCCGACGTTCGAAATCCCGAGTGTATCGAAATCCCGACGTTCGAAATCCCGACTATATCGAAATCCCGACTATGTCAAAATCCCGACTACCATAATCCCGACAATCAAAATCTCGACTATATCGAAATCCCGACAATCTAAAACTTAATAAGATTATTAATTGTTGTTATTTATTGTTAATAATATAAACTAATTTTATTATAGAATATTTCTTATTCTTAAGTTTTATAATGAATAAGACAACGAAAAAAAAATACAATAAAAATTAATATTATATATTGTTATTAAGAATAAATAAGAACAATTAATAATCGTGCAAAAGAGCCATCGATCTAGGTCTTAAAAATATTTCCGTCGTACCTATTAAAATATAGAACAATAATTTAAAAATGTTATTGTAGAAATTATAATAATAAAAGACATTGTCGGGATTTCGATTGTCGGGATTATGGTAGTCGGGATTTCGTTACAGTCGGGATTATGGTAGTCGGGATTTCGATACACTCGGGATTTCGAACGTCGGGCTTTCAATAGACGGTCTTTCGGTTGTCGGGCTTGCGATATAGACCCATACATTATATCATGATGATGTATTCGTACCATACGGAAAATGATTATAACTCTATTTCGGTGATTATAGTTTTTTTTTTATTAAAATATAATTAGCAGTCTTGAACTTACTCCACTCCTGTGTAGATTTTCGAACTTAATACAACCCTGTGCATCTGCATTTTCGTTAATTTTTGTTTGGTGCAACGTTGCAGTTGGTGCGACTGATTTATGTTTGTTTGATGACAGTTCAACCTGGTTTAACTGAACTGTTATGACTGGTGGAACAAAAATGTCAAATCTGAACTGTATTTACAAAATCCAAACAAGAGGAATTTAGCAGAAAGTAGTCAATGAAACGAACGAAATGGCTTATGTGAATGTAAAAGATTGGTCTGTTGAGCAAGTGACAGAGTGGTTGAAAGGTGACAATATGCAATATATAAGATGAGTCATTTAACCTTAGAAAATCATTATTCATTTTGCAGGTCTAGACAATAGCATATCACATTACACTCAATCCTTTTTAAACAATGGAGTTAATGGACAACAGCTACTCAACATTCGTTTAGATGATTTGGAGCATTTGGGTGTTAAGATTCTGGGACACCAAGAAATTATCATTGAATCAATTGTGCAACTTCGAAATATAGTGATTATCCAATTTACTTAAATGTTGTGGAATCTAATTAAACTTCCTATTTTTTTTTAGCACTATGAGCTTGACAAAGAAAATTTACAATTGCTTGCACTTCGACTCTCATGCACAGCAAATTCACTCAACAAGGAATTACAATACAATGATAATAATACAACTGTAGTGCAAATGCAAACCTTATCTGATGTACACAATGTTATAAAAACTATAAAACCAATAGTTTATTGGCTCAATAGGTACTGTTAATATTGGATTTTAAGAATTAAGTAAATGAACTGCAATTATTTCAGATCACCTTTTGCTGATAATGTAGAATATACTGAACTAAAAAAAGAGCTTTTAATGTTGGGACTTGAGATGGCAACGCAAGGAAATCGTGGTAAATTTTCTGAACAACCAAACCAATCAATTAGAGATAACTGTGAGAAACTGGCTAAACTTGCTGATAAAATTATTCAAGTGAGTTGACTTTTAATTGGATTTAAAATGAATTTAAATTATATGTTGTGTATTTTAGGATAGTTTTGATCCAATTATATTACAACCAGCTACATTAGATTTAACAACCTTAAAGAAAAAAGAACAAGATTTAGGATTTTCAGTGCTACCCAGTTACAATTTAGTACATCAAATTGCTGATATCAAATTTGGATCTCCAGCACAATTAAGCAAGAAAATTGATGAAGGTGATGAGATTATTCAGGTAATTTATTAAATATATTTTCTTTTGCTCAAATATTTTTATATATTACTTTTCTGTAGATTAATTATCAAACAGTAATTGGTTGGGAAACAAAGAAAGTGCTTTTGTTGATGCAAGAACCTCCAACTGAGATTGTGTTGACTCTTAAGAAAAGGCCAAGACATACTAAAGTCTATGGGCAGATTTATATGAAACCATATAGATTGCCAAGTAAAAAGAAAGCTGAAAAGAGGTGGTATGAAAATTTGCCATCACCACAATTACTACAAAATTATGTGCTACCACAAATCCCAAAGTGAGTATTTTCGTATTTCGCATAATTTGAATTCGTTATTTAACTAATATTTTAGGATAACACCGATTATGGACAATATTGAATCAGATAGTGGTAGCGAATGCGAAACTCCTGACAGTCCTTTGGAGAACAGTGGTAGAATGATACCATTTAAGCCAAGGTCAGTTTTACAAAGGAGAAACACCATTACAGGAGCCACACCTACTAATAAACAATCTTCACACGAAATTGAACAGGTTCGTTGTACCTCATTCATATAGCCATTACTCTTCTTTTTATTTAAAGAAACAAGTAAAAGAAAAATAAATATTGTAGTTCTTAATACCTTCCTTTATCCTAATTTAATTGTCTCTTACATTACTTAACATACATTATCAGATATATCTTTTAATTATATTATTTTTATTTTTCCTGCATGATAAATATAATGTTATATTATTTTGTAATATTTTTTTAAACATTTATTTTGATCAGTTAAATTATATGCAAGGTATGTATGAGTCATTGGTTTTCGAAAATTATCAACTTTTATATCCACTATCTTAGTAGCATAGGAAGTTGGTGGGTGGATGCACTTTACATCTTGTATACAAACTCGTAGGCAAATCAAAAGCGGTCTCTCAATTGCATTAGGCGGTAGAAATTGTTGCTAAATTAATTTAAATTATCTTGTTTTTTATAGTATTGGAAGTTGTTGAAAAATGAGGCAAAGACGACTCACGCTAGTTCGTACAACTTGCCAACAGACAAATTCGAGGAAGATCCGATGTATTTAAGAGATAAAAGTGTATCGTGCAGTCACGGATTGGAATTGGGTGAACGGCCGACGACGGTGATTGGACTGACGCACAACCGTAAGAATAGTTTCAAGACTGATTTTCCCGAAAAGATTAAGAAGAATGTGAATTTCGATGACACCAAAATAATAATAAACGACATATCAGAGCTAAAAGTGGACGACAGAAAGAGCATTAGCACAACGTCTTTGAGTAGCCTCAAGGACGAAACGATTGATTTCATTGATGAAGCCGAAGATCTTCAAGATCGCAGCAAAATGACCCTGGACGTTGATTTGATAGATACTAATAAATGCGTCAAAGAAATTGTAAGTTGCAAAACTAAATTGAATAAGAGTCCGTTGAAGGACACGGTTCTAGAAGACGTCCATATTGACAATATTATTATGAAGTTTGAGGTTGTTGACAAGCCAAAAAAATTGTCTAAAAAAGTGCCTGTAGTACCGCAAAAGCCTATTGTCTTCCCGAGGCCTCCAAAGAGTAGAGGGAAATTAGATAAGAGTCATAGCACTCCGGCTTATGACTTGACTTCTGAGGAGGACATTCCTAAAGAATGTCCATTAACTCCTATGGACGAAAATCCTATTAAATTAAGTGCAATAGAATTTCCAAGTAATGTAGCTAAAGAAAATCCGCGTCAATTAACGCACAAGCTGTCTTTTCGCGAAGTAAACGAGCTTCCAAAAATTCCACCCCAGGATATAGCTAAATTTTCTCACCAAGAAAAAGCCACTAAACCAATAGAAGTTACATTTCCTCAACACGATTCATTAAAATATTTACAAGATAATAAATCGAACAACGAAGACGAATCCATGAGCTTCTCTCAAATAAGTGAACAGGATTCAAAAATATCACAATCGACTATCAGATATGAATTGGGTATTCCAACAATACATAAAGTCATCAATTGCAATTCACTTGCACTGGAAGTAAGGAAGAAGTCAGATGTACCGCCAAAGCCTCCTCCTAGGACCAACATCCCTGAATCTTACAAGAGGAAAGTTCTACCGCCACCCGAGGCATTAAACCCGAAAATAGCAGAAGTCACAATGCAATTGAAATTGAACGAAGCATTAGAGGCCGCAGCTTCAATAGATTTTGAGCCATCTGCTGTCAGTTCACCAATCACTAAGCAGCCAAAAGAAGATGTATTAAAAATTGATACGAAAAAATCTTCGCCCACAAATATATTGGGTCGTGCAATAAGCAAAAATAAATCCGCCAAAAAGAAAAACAGTTTACTGTTGAGTAAGTACTTTGAACTGATATTAATTATATAAAACAATATAATAATATTAAATGTGATTTATTTATTTTAGAAAGACGGAAGGTTAGCGTGAGTGATGTAACTCCTGGTGAAATACAGGGTTATTTATACAAGCGATTAAGAAGTAAACATAATCAGAATGTACATTGGGAAAAAAGATGGTTCGTGTTGAATCAAAACTGTCTCTATGGTTTTAAGTCGAAAGAATCTCTAAAAGCCGAATGTTACATTTACCTTGCCGGATTCACGGTTACAGAAGCAACGGAAGTAAAATCACGTCCATTCGCTTTTAAAGTATACCACACAGGAACCGTTTTCTACTTTTCAGCTGAAAATCATGAAATACTACTCTCTTGGACTGAATCTATAACCTCTGCAACTTTCAATCCAGACGTGTCGAGGTCGACTGATCAAATTCTATATTCTGAAAGTGACAATGATTCAGATACTGAAACCCCGAGCAAGTCTTCCACGTTAGAAAAGCCCAACGATGGTATTCGCAAGTTTAATTCGCTGAAAAAATTCACATCGAAGAAACGTGATTCATCCGATGGAATCACGAGCTTAGATCGAAAATGGTTCTTCAACAAGTCAAGCAATAAAAAGAACGCTCTTCCGGTTCCCACCGCTCAATTCCGCTCTTATCGAAAGGTGCCCGCTTCCACGACTTTCGGAAATTTTACTTCACACATAGCAAACTATGGGGCGAAATCTGAAATACATGACAATATTTCCAACTTAAGCATGGATTCAATGTCACAAATCAATGAAAGCTACAAGTTGCATTCGAGTAACGTTAGCCTAGATACAGAGTACAAATGTAATTCCAGCTTATACTATGATAGCTTTAATCAATGTATGGAAAGCAACAATACCCCTGAAATGGTATATCCTAAGAAAACTCATTTGAGGACATCGTCCGACTGCAGTGAACCCAAAAAGGAAAGCTCTTGCTTCAGCAAGCGTTCATCCTCAATTAAATCCGGAACTCATTCTTTCAATACTCCGAAGAACTCCAAGAATCATTCATTGCCTCGCACACCGAAATCTGCTGAACCGAACTTCGCCAGACACAAATCGAATTCGTCCAAATCTCTTTCCAAAGAACTTTCACAGGGCATGATTTATTGTCCTCAAACAACAATGAACGATGTCCAATTTGCACAAAACAGAACACTAGACGGTAGAAAGTTCAATGAAACACCGAAATGCTTAAAACCAGCAATGCATTATACACCATTGGCTACTCCGCTCAGTCCAGAAGACAAGAGATTCAACACCAAGTTTGAACTGAATTTAGATGATCGGGCTGTTAGCAATACCAGCAAAAGTAGTAAATTTAGGCAGCTTTTCATGAAGCAGGACAGCAAAAAGGAGAAGAGATTGCCGAAATTTAGTAAAAGTGAAGATTTGGGCATCTCTCCAGATTCGGTACGATATTAAAACATAACACCTTTACAATAATTGATTGCTTTTTTTTCTGCAGATCGTAGCTAGTTCATATTTGCCCGAAGTTTCATATTCTCAAGTCCAAAGTGCTCCACCTTCAGCAGATTATCCTGGATTAGAATATCCGCCTGTATTTAAAGCCGAGACATACTCTTTATCTAATCCGCAAAGTACATTGTTTCGAAAGCAGAATAAGTAAAGCTAAATTATTCCTTCATTGAACTAGTGATATGTTGAGTTATATTTTTATTTTTTTTATCTTAATAAAATATGTTGATTTTATTATGATTCTTAAAAATGTTAATGTGCAATTCGATAATCAAAGTATATTATTATATTATGTAAACAATAATTATTGGTTAATTTTATATAGTTGATTTTTTTAACCGAATAAAATATTGTTGATCGACATATTTATACACATTATTGCAAATAACCCTCTTTTTGTTCCCACACCTAATATCATAGAAACGAAAATTAGCACAATTATGATAGTGTTATGTTTTTCATTTTTCACATTTTTTGTGCGTGTGACTATTATATTAAATCAGTTTTATTTTCATATAATAAAAATGAATGAAATTATTCTTGGATTACAAAAATATTTATAAATAGACTGAAGTATTTCTGTCAATAAAATAACAATTAAATGTTTTTATTGTTGTGCTTTAATTACTACGAAACAAGAATTTATTTTGAAATAACCTAGGTCGTTATTTTTTGCCGTAATTGTTACTTATTTATTGTTATTGTTTACTTAATTTTACTATTGAATGTTTCTTCTTTTCACGGAGTTAAGATTTCCATCAATTGAATTATAAATTGTTGTCTATTTCGTAGGAAAAGTTTTGATTATATCTTCCAACTATAGTCATAGTAATTACACTGAATTGAATCAAACATAGATGTTTGAAAATAACATTTACAAGTAGTTTTTCGTAGTAGTAGTTTAAGCCTAACTAGAGAACGGATTATATTTATTTTTCTATTTTTTTTTTGTCAATGATTATTCATATTTAAGAAAGTAACATAAATATAAGTTAAATTTGGGCAGAAAGACTTAGGTCGTTATCCCTTTGATCCAAATTAGCACCAATAAAAATGTATAAATTAAATATGTTAAACTACAATCTTTAGGCTTTTAATGAATGTGATGATTAACATAAATGTACAATTTATGTACATATTTTATACTTATGTATTTTTATTTCATACGTACCTATGTTATAGTTATAATAATTAATCAGTTTATCATGTTTTTTTCGTCGCAAATTTAATTTCAGTAAAGTGTAAATAAGATAATTTTGAAATATATTATAGTTATTAAAAGAATCTGTTTATCTTATGGAAGATTGTAGCGTGAATAATAATTATTAAAATTAATTTAGACACACCGAGTTCACTTGAAATTTACGTTTGATTGAGTTATGTGCAAAGCGCTGAGAATGGAATTACCTAAGCCGTCGTCGGATTAGAAATCTTAATGAAACGTCTTAATAAATTTAACACTTGCTGACTGCAATCCAGTCACGCTCGACAGTGATATTAAATCAAGTGGATGTGCAGAAGCAAACAAGTGGTCGTGGGAGATGCGACGGGAGGCAAAACAAAGCGCCGGACATCGATCGAGGCGTCGCCAAGACGACGCCTCTCAGGACGTCGCGACGCGATGATCATCGGCGAAGTGCAAACACATTTATCGTGCGCTCCGGCACTATCAATCCGAACTTGGTGAGAAGAGTCATAGGCCATTTAGGAAAAGTTCAAAGATCACGCAAACTACAACAACTATATGCGAACCGCATTGAAGGGGCATCTGTCTTTACTACTGGTACGTATGAGAAAAAGAATAATTATATTCGCGGTTTGAATTCCACAACAATCACTTTATTGTAACAATCAACGTTCGAAAAAATGAAGAAAAAAGATTGTTCTCATATCCGCTCGGACTTTCTACATATTTCGCTTTGTGTTCTTTTATTCTAATAATGTCATGAAAGAATCAATTACAGGTAGCATTCAAAATGGAAAATATAAATTGGAAAACGATTTCTTTTACAACTTTAAACGATTTCCTGCACAAACCTAAACATGCCGCAAGCTTGGCCGTTGCTAGAATACTTTTCGGTAGGTATGACAATGGATTTATCTTATTTTATTTAATAATATCATTATTTTAGGTATGCTGATGTTAATTGATATAGTCGAGGAAAGAGGTGGATCCGACCTGGATATTAGATGGGGCGATGCTAAAACTTGCCATTTTCCACTTCTTCCTCACCTACAACGTCCAACTCTACCATGGATGTGCCTGTTGTACGGAATTATGTGGCTAGGAGCTTTAGGAATCGCCTTAGGTTACAAGTTTAAATTGAGCTGTGCCTTTTTCTGCGTGCCCTATTGGTATGTGCTGCTCCTAGATAAATCCTTTTGGAACAACCATAGCTATTTGTACGGTTTAATCGGACTGCTATTGTTTACCTCATCAGCTAATTGTTATTGGTAAATATTTTAATTAACATTTCCACTTATTCTATAATAAATTATTAAGGTCTTTAGACTCTTTTCTGAGCAACGACAAAACGAACGCAGTGCCTAATTGGAATTATTTCATCTTAAAATTCCAAATCTTCATTCTGTATTTTTATGCCGGACTTAAGAAGACAGACATGGAATGGCTCGACGGATACTCCATGGCAAATCTAGGACACCACTGGATCTTTTCTCCTTTCTCGTAATTATCAAAAGCAATAACAGAAACTATTTCTACTAAATTAATATTTTAGTTCGATCTTCACCGTCCACGAAATTGATTATTTAATCATCCATATGAGCGGATTTCTTTTGGATTTAAGTCTGGGATTCCTATTGGTTTGGAAGAAAACAAGACCGTTATCAATTTTAGCAGGAATAACATTTCATTTAATGAATAGCAGAATGTTTAGTATAGGTAATACTAATAATTATAAAAATATTTAAAAAAATATTAGCTGGCAACCACGTTTTAGGTATGTTCCCTTACGTTTCTATAGCCACTATACCATTATTTTGTGAAGCCGATTGGCCCATCAAATTGTTATCGAAGTTCGTATACAAAAAGGAAATAGAAGAGAAAATCCCGTCGGTTTGCAACGCAAATAAGAAATCGAGAGTAGTTCTGATTATGTTTTATTGTTTGCTACAAATGTTCCTGCCTTATTCGCACTTTATAACGAAGGTGTGAATTTAAAATAGATATGATAAATGTGGTTAATCTTGATATTGAAGGGTTTCAACAATTGGACGAATGGTCTTTACGGTTATTCATGGGATATGATGGTTCATTCTTGGGACACTACGTTGGTTGTGGTTCGTATTGTCGATAATAAATCAGGGAAGGAGCATTTTCTTGATCCATCTGCTTGGACGCATAACGACAGATGGAGTAAACACGCGGATATGTGCGTGCAGTACGCCCACTGTTTAAAGAACAACTTACTCACAGAAATATCTAGTAATAAATTGGCATTTAAAGAAGTAATATAACAATATATTAAAACTTAATGTTTTAGAAGAAAGAAATAGACAAAACTCGGATATAGACAACTACATCACCTCTCAGGACATTTCGATTTACGTGGATGTATGGTGTTCGTTGAATGGGCGTTTCCAACAGAGGATGTTCAACCCTAATTACGATTTGCTTAAAGCCGATTGGTCGCCGTTTAAGAAAGTTGAATGGCTGTTGCCGTTGCTTACAGAATACAGTGTGTTTCGTGAAACTATTAGAGAAATAGAAAATCACGTATACACTTGGTCTAATTACAGCGACGTATTATTCATCGCCGATTTTCCAGGTAATTCCTGTAATATGTTTATGGATTTTATTATAATATGCTTTTTTATTCGCTGATCCAAGGTTTATCGTTGGAAAATTTTATAAGTCCAGATTTGGATAATGTTACGTTAACTGTGATCGAAGGAGAAGTAGTATTACAAACGGAATTGAACGACAAACAGGTGCAATTAGTAAAAGGTTCCAGTATTCCAATCGTGTCTAACGTCTTTCATACCATTCTTACCGTGGGCGAAAGACCATCCTGCTTCATGTATACCTACTTTAATAAAACTAAGGATGAACTGAAAGAAGAGGAAACCAGTATCAAAAGTTCGCAGTATTCACCAATGCCTCTGCTCGAGGATAGCGCGGCAAGCGTCGAGGGTTTCGTAAGGATGTGGGATCTTGTTGGAAATTCCATTTTAAATCTCATTTACCAAGTGCCTATGATTAGACGTGCGCCATTGTGATATGAAAAAAAATAAACGTATTACTTGCATATAATTATTTTATATCAATATGTTTCTAATGATATATTTATATAATAAATTATTATAAACCGCTTAACTTTACTAAAATGTAGGTACTTCATACATTTTAAACAAAAATTAAATATAATGTGAAATAAACTAGAACATATATGTACATTTTTATCAAGAATAGTATTCCTAAATGCTCTTTTCCATATTTAAATAATACTATCAAATATAAATCTCATTTTTTATTTTATTATTATTACCACCTTTTCTGACACCTTTTCAGTTGTATATTTCGTATTAGATTTTCATTCACAACTAATAGAAACATTTAATAAATGTGCAAAACCTATCGAATTCAAATGAAACATTGAGCATGCAACCCCATCTACATATAAATAAAATTATAGAACCAATGATACTAAATGTGACATAACCTGAACATATTTAAATAATGGATAAACTACTTTTAAGCAATATCCGTAATGTAACGTAAAATTAATGTTTTTAAATTATATGTAGCATTTAAGTTATACTCTACTTTGTTTCTAGGCCAGAAAATTACTTCATGAAAACTATATAACCCCCAAAGATTTACTGAATTCGTGTCTAACACAGGCAAAAGATACGAATCATTTAAACGCTTATATAACATTAACTGAAGATGAGGGCAATAAGCAAGCAAAACAATCACTTGAAAGGTACCAGAAGAAGGAGGCTACTTCTAAATTGGATGGAATTCCTATTGCAATTAAAGATAACTTCTGCACAGCAAACATAAAAACTACTTGTGCATCTAAAATGTTGGAAAATTTTGTACCCACCTACAATGCAACAGTTTATGAAAAACTTCTAAATGCTGGGGCTGTGCTAGTAGGTAAAACTAATTTAGATCAATTTGCTATGGGTTCAGGAACAATTGATTCAATCTATGATAGTACTAAAAACGCCTGGGGTTACACAGAGGATGATTATTATATTGCTGGTGGAAGCAGTGGAGGAAGTGCAGTTGCTGTAGCAACTGGCAGTTGTTTTGCGTATGTTGAATTTAAATGTAAATGTGCTAAATTCTAATTTACTTTTTGTTTTTTAAAGTGCTTTAGGTTCAGATACTGGTGGTTCCACTAGGAATCCTGCTTCTTATTGTGGAGTAGTAGGCTTAAAACCAACTTATGGCTTGGTTTCAAGATTGGGTTTAATTCCTCTTGTCAATTCAATGGACGTACCTGGCATCTTAACAAGAACAGTAGATGACTGTGTTTTAATTTTGAACACTATAGCTGGTCATGATCCTAAAGATTCTACAACACTAACAAAGCCCTATAAAGAAATATTGTGAGTTCAAAAAGTAACATTCCATTAATCTTGATGAAATTTCTTCATTTATTATTCTCAGATTACCTTCAAGTGGTAAATTAAGTGTGAAAGGTTTGAAAATAGGTATTCCAAAGGAATATCATTGCAAAAATTTAGATAAAGAAGTTTTGGATACTTGGAATGATGTTGCCAAGTTACTAGATGAAAATGGTGCAGTGGTTAAGGAGATCTCCATGGTGAATACTGAACACAGTATAGTCTGTTATTCGATTTTAAACCAATGCGAAGTTGCCAGTAACATGGCAAGGTATGATGGTATTGAATTCGGACTTAGGGCAGATGAAAATTCATCCACGGAGAAATTGTATGCAACGAGTCGCAGTCATGGTTTCAATGAAGTCGTAAGAAACAGAATTTTAACAGGAAACTACTTCCTATTAACTAAGTTAACATATTCTAAATACAAAAACATTTTATTTGTATAACACATTTTATTTTAGGAATTATGAAAAGTATTTTAATCAAGCTTTAAAAGTTCGACGATTAATATCCAACGATTTTTATAAAGCTTGGGAAGATGTGCAGGTCCTTTTAACACCAACCACATTGTCCACAGCTCCAAAATACAAAGACTTCGTTAAAAAGACGAACCGCGATCAATGCGCGATGCAAGACTTTTGCACTCAACCTGCAAACATGGCTGGTAAACTAAATAATATTTAAATGAAATTAATGTGTACACTATAAAATAATAATTTTATTTTAAAGGTGTGCCAGCAATCTCAATTCCAATAAAGTTATCTAAAAAAGGATTACCTATAAGTTTACAAATAATGGGTCGCAATTTAAGTGAACCTATGATTCTGGCACTTGCAAAATACATAGAAAATATTGTAAAGTTTCCTGGAGTCAAATAAACTGTAATCTTACTTTTTATTTTCTTAAATATACTTATATGAAATACTTTAATCTTCACCAGCTGGAATGGAGTCCTCTAATCTCCTTATAAACTTAAGCCTAATTTCTGTGTTGCTGTCACCTTTCAATTGATCTTGCACAATCCAACTTTGAACATCCAAATGGACCATCTCCAAAGCACCCCTTAACACTCCACAAATAATATTACAGTATTTCAAGTTCTTCAGATCATCAGGCAACTCAACCAATTCAGTGAGAGGATTAGAGTCCAGAATGAAAGAAAACTCATCACCAGCTGCACTCCAATTAGCCACATTTGGTTGAACACCCAAATACATTTTGAAAGCCATCTGTACTTTATCAGCAGTGTCCTTAAGATCCAGACAACGACCACTCCCTGTTTTTGATAGAAAGTCTTCTACTATCCTTATACCCATGTTATATCCTAATCTTTCTAATTGCTTGCTAACATCATCAGCATTATCCAAATCCTTGATCATCTGTGCAACCAAAGCCCCATAAGTTAATGTAACCAATTCTGAATTCTAAAAAAAAAACGTATCTTATAAGAATTGTCAAATCACAACATGTTGACGTTACTTACTACTTTCTTGGTATCGATACGTGACGAAGAACGAGACATTTTAAATAATTTTATTTATCACCTTTGATTAAAGAAAGTGGGATGCAAATTTACAAAACAAGTGTCAAACTTTGACATTGACATTTAAGTGCAACCAATTGAGAACAATAAACTGTTACAGTTGTGTTATGTAGTATATTACAATGAATTTCAATAATATTCTTGTGTATTGAAGGCTAAAATTGATACTGCTATTAAATACAATAATATTTTAAATTTTATTTAAGTATTTTAAGTGCTTTTATGAATTATTATCAGTAATATATTAATTGGTACAGTTGGTACAAATGATTATTATCTAAAAATATGTGGGCTAAATAAACCAAACACCTGTTCAAAATAATAATATTGTTCTACGCACTTCTCAATAATCCAGGACAATCAATAGTAAATAGTGATAAACATATCTAGTCAGATATATAAATTTGCTTGGTTAATAAATTTCAAATCTTCAAAATGAAGAAAAAGGTGTGTAATGCATGAATTATCTATGGGTTTTATTGATAATAATAATTTTATGTTGCATAGGTGCTTCTGATGGGCAAAAGTGGTTCTGGCAAAACCAGTATGCGTTCTATAATATTTGCTAATTATATAGCCAGAGATACAAGACGACTGGGTGCTACAAGTAAGAAATTGCCTAACAGTACAAAGTCCTAAATCAAAGCCACACCTAAAATAAACAACAATAAAAGTGAACCAACAAATTTATATAGATATTTTTCAGTTGATGTGGAGCACAGCCATGTTCGATTCTTAGGGAACTTGATTTTAAATTTGTGGGATTGTGGAGGGCAGGAGGCTTTTATGGAAAATTATTTTGCATCCCAAAGAGATAATATTTTTCGAAATGTGGAGGTCCTTATATATGTGTTTGATGTGGAAAGCACAGAATTGGAGAAAGACATGCACTACTACCAAACATGTTTGGAGGCAATCATACAAAACTCTCCAAACGCGAAAATATTCTGCTTAGTGCATAAAATGGATTTAGTTCTGGAACAACAAAGGGATGTTATTTTTCAAGAACGTCAAGCTGATTTAATGAGACTTTCAATGCCTTTATCATGCACTTGCTTCAGAACGTCTATTTGGGATGAAACCCTTTACAAGGCTTGGTCCAGCATTGTTTACATGCTAATACCAAATGTAAAAGCTTTAGAAAACAGTTTGCAGCAATTTACCAACATTGTTGATGCCGACGAGGTGTTGCTCTTTGAGAGAGCGACCTTTTTAGTTATTTCACATTGCCAAAGAAAAGATCACAAAGACGTGCATCGCTTCGAGAAAGTCTCGAACATTATAAAACAATTCAAGTTGTCCTGTTCGAAATTAGCAGCTCAATTTCAAAGTATGGAAGTGAGAAATTCCGCGTTCGCATCATACATTGATATGTTCACCAGCAATACTTACGTAATGGTCTGCATGTCTGATCCTCAAATACCCTCAGAGATAACTCTGATCAATATTCGTAACGCTAGGAAACACTTTGAAAAATTGGAAAAGGTTTCCAGTTCTGCACCAGCTATTACACACCACTAAGAAAATACTCAAAATGCTCGCTGTTTTACTTTACAGCTATATGGTTACACATAAGTATAGGAATAAATGTCCTCAACTCTTGCTTTGTTCAAATCTTTTTTAAATATATTTGTTCATGTTATTTAAATTGTCTTGTTCAGTTTGTTAATTTTTGTATGAATAAATTTCAAACATGTCAACAATATTTAATGTACATATTAAATACTGAATAAAATTTGTATGCGCAATTGATTCTGATTGTCTCGTAACGCGTTTGTACTTTTTTTTATTAATATTTTATGAGAACATATTAACAGTAACAATATAAATAATTAAATCAAAATAAAAAAAAATAAAAGTATTTCCTATATACAGTCTTCAGGGTATAGTAAACACACGCGCGTATGTCGGAATGAAGATTCATCTAAATGAAGAACGAATAAAACCCAACTCTTCACTTGGACTCGAACAAAATCAATGTTTTCACTTCTTCTTTCGGTCTTGCGTGCATTTCGGGCAGTACCATTTGCCTTTGGGTTTTGTTGTTAAACCGACGCATGCAAAATGGAACCATTCTATTGGACAATCAGGATTATCACATCCAATCATTTCTCCATAGGACACTTGATGGCAAAGGCAGTATGTTGGTTCGTTAGGGTCAACAGGCATATCCAGTACGTCCCCTGGATGTGCAAATTCTATACCTTGCAAAGCTGTATCTACAACTGTTAAATAAGAATTAGTAAAATAAGAACTGATCATGACCGCATTAGCATATACCTTCTCCAATTGCAGCAGCTGCGCCATTGCTAAGACCATTTGCTCCGTTTCCTCCTGATCCAGTGTTCTTTTGCTTCTTCTTTTTGCTCCCGCGAATAGTACCAGTCGAATCCTCTTCACTTGAATTGCCGGACCTCTTTTTCTTCTCACCTTTTCCATCCTTGGTCTTCTTTCTGCCTTCTATAATATTTGCAATGATAAACAAATTCATAATTCCTTGTAAACCAATTGTTCATACTCTTTCCCACGGACGCTTCCTCTTGATTCCTGGAACTCAGCGCCTTATCTTGAATTTCCGCTTCGAATCGCGCTAAATCAGAGTCCAATCTTCTAATATGTTTATCAACTAACTCGTAAGTTTGTATTGCTAATTGCACTTTGTCATCGCCATATTCCTATAGAAAAGAAACATATTTAGAAACGTAGCAAACTACTGCAAATGTTTTCACAAAAACAATTACTAAACAAGTTAAGCCAATCATTTGTATGTTTATATCACTTTATATTACTATTTTCTTCTTGTTGGAAAATGAAGTGGTGAATCCATGAGAATTGATTATATTTATTTATTTCAAATACAAATTAATTAAGGGTTAAATTCAATATCTACCTGCTTTATGGATACTTAATATTGCCAATTGTTTAAATACAGAGTATTTTTGTGAAAGAATGTTACACATTCTACACAACCAATAATGCCAATTCTTGTAATTAATAATAAACATTTTATTATATTAAGCACTCAGAGAACTTAAAATATGAATAAATTCTTTTTGAGTTCCTAGGAACTGGCGCACCTCTATAAAATTATCAGTTTTTCTAAATCAATAATATTTTCAATTAGCTGTAAAAATAGTTCCAGGTTAAAGTTGATTGAAGAAAGGAAATAATAAAAATACCTTGGCTTTGTTAAATGAGCTTTGGATTTTATCTAGCTTTTCCTTCCTCTCATCAGAGTTTAATGCGTGGTCATTCCTGAGGTAATTATCGGCTTGAAAATCAATATTTTTCATAAGAGACTGGGCCCTGGCATCTAGATCACGCATCAATTTAAAGTTCCTTTGCAGTTCTATTGGTAAATTCTCTAAACCTGAAAATATGAATGCAGTTATTATTGTGTGGCTTGCATACACCAAATATTATTCACTGGATTTAACATTGAACAATAAGGATTCATAGAGAATGTGAATTTCAAAGAACATTTTAGTTGGGTGTGATGTAGGAGCAGTAATGATCGCACCCACCCGGTGCAGCGCGCATTAATCGAAATACAATAGTTATGTGAGGTTAAGGGATAGAACAAAAGGGCATAAAAAAATCTTCTACTTACTATCTAAATAGTGTTCCAAATACAATGCAGATGTCATATTCGTAGATTGTCAGAAGCTAACATAACAGATTATTGCTTTTGTTTTGTACGTAATGGTAATTTCGTATTTAATATTTTGGGTAAATTTCCACAAACGGGACATCAATAAAAATACTTTCAATACACAGCAGACGCACTCGCACTTTCTAAATGCAATGCTGGCAACAAAATAAACCTAAATAGTTAAAAGTCCGATGGGAGATAGGAGTAAATGCTATTCAACATTTTCTACGCACTTTTCTAAATCTACATATTTAAAGCAGATCTTATAATAACAAATTAGACACAACATGTAACTGAACTGTTCAACAAAATATTAACAGTAATTCTAATAAGTCTATAATTATTAATCAGAATTGCCAACAGCATTGCTCTAAAATTTATTATTCATATAAATTTTAAATCGCCAAAAATTTAAATTTGAGTCATCTTTCGCATATAAATTGCATAATATTGAATTTTGCAATATTTGAACTATAACTATTATATATTTCGTAATTCCGAGCATGCCACATGCAACACCTGTCGGTAAAAGTCAAGGTAGTTCATTTACCTTTGAAATCTTTCATTCGTTTCTTCCTCCAAATTAGTTGGAGTTGGAAACAACGATGGGAGCAATTAGTTTATTACAGCATTTTTTTGTTTTTGTCTTTATTCAGTGTATTTACTGTGATGGTAAGTTCTAAAATAAATACAATTAATTAAAAAACAATGAAATACATAAATAGAAATAATGCATGAATTATTTTAGAGATTTTTGAATCGGATTTGGGCGAAGACATGAAAATTGGTTTGGCCGATGGTGGATACCAGAGCGTGAAATTGAAATGTGGTTCAGATTCGATGCATGTAAACTTATTGACTGACGAAGACTTCGCCGGTGTAATTTACACTAGAGGTAGTTTCTATGATAGAGACACTTCTTGCTTCCTTGATCCAGGTTCGATGATCATAACTGTAACTGTTGTTTGAAAATTATTTTTCGATATGTTTAGGATATAGAATTGGTCAGAGAAGCTTCAACATGAACTTCAGTCTGGATGACTGTAAAACGAAGAAAGTGAGAATACAGTATAGAATACGCAAAACTCGAAAATAATATAATTTTAATCTTTTTTAGAATGGAGAAGTTTATACAAATGTTCTGGTGTTACAACATGATAAAGAGTTGATAATGCCAGGAGATGCAGCTTTCAGTCTAGAGTGCGATTTCAATAAGCCAAGAGACATTACAGTTAGCGCAAATTTGCACAAGTAATTATAGAAATAAATAGTATATGCAGCCAAAGCTACCAATCTACGAATAACTAAAGTAATGCATTAATTATAATAAACCATATTTCAGCCAACCTAGGTCTGTGATATCTAGAATAAGTCTAACGGATGCGGATCCCGGTGCTAAACACAAGAGAGCCAAACGATCTACGATCGAGAGCGAAGATGATGCGGCCGAAATAACTCCAGAGAAAGTGAAAAGTATGAGTAAGACAGAGTTATAAAAGTCTTCGCATTGTATGAGTAACTTATTTTTGCAGACTGTTCGTAAGCTACGTAAATTAAAATAAAAATTATACCTTTATTCTTAATTTTATTTGAGCACTAACCCTCCTCCCATTAACCGTTATAAAAGTTTTATATAAAAATGTAAAGCAGCAAAAAACAGGAAAATGCACGAACGAAAGGAACGGATGTTTGTTTTGCTTTTTTATTTTTTTTTGTTGTGTCGTGTGGTGTAAAATATGCATATGTGGGTGAGTTAAATATCAGAGGTAGATCTTTGCAGGCGTAATTCTTTGCTAGAATTTGAGCGACTTTGCGAATAACGCGGCCGTGGCTTGAGTTTTGTCACCGTTAAACCGTCTCAATTCGTCAACCACCTGTTCTCTAGTAAACCCTAAGGACACGAGTTCTTTAACATCAGTTTCATTGACATTGTCTTGGCTATTTCCCCCCGATGTACTGGCCCCCTGCGCATCTGAAATCATTAACGAGAAACAAAAAAATAATTTATATTTATGTTTGGCCACAGATTTGCACTAAAAGTAAATTAGTAGATGCTTTTTATTTGTGGAAAATAATAATCGAAATAGCACATGTATAAGTGGTTAATGTCTTTTTTTGCTTTCATGTCTATCGGGACTTTTAGGTTTGCCATCCGTGTTTCTCTTCGGACTACCTCGAGAAGACTCATTCGGACGCTTATTGCCTATAAATTTCAGGACGTTCAGGGTATTTAGGGACAGGTATATTATACAGACCTTTTGTGCTATTCCTGATAGCCTTCTCCAACTCCATCTCCTCCGCTTGCTTGCGCGATTCTCTGATCATATCCTCTTCTGAAGCGCTACTCAACCGAGCGCAATCTGGTAAATCGCTTTCTGGCAAGAAACGTGTTTCAGTCCCTGTTGTTCCAATTTTTAAAACATTCGTTTTCAAATCTATAGCACACTGAAATTAATATAAATTAAAATCATGTTTTCCTAAATAAAAATATTGTACATTTACAACGTTCAATATATTTAAAAATAAATTGAACGTCGTAAGTGTAATATGTAAAAAAAAAAAGAAATAAACCTGATGTCGCTTCAACATGTCTAATCCGAGCAGCATGTCCATAGGCTGCTCTTCTAGAACTGAAAAACTAGTAGTCAAATAATCTTTTTCGATTTGTATTTGCACCATGTGAATTCTTCCAATGATTTTTTGAACGCCAACACCTTTGGCGATTCCAGCCCATCGTGTATCAACTAAACGCATGATATTGCAGCGCTCAGCGCAAGCACTAGACATGATTGTCGTTTGAGCACCTGAAAAAGCAATTATTTAATGATTTCACATCACGTCTCTTTCTTCTCATATACCTGAATCGATGAAGGCTTTCACAGGATGTCCGTTCACTCTGCAATTAATATATAACATCACAACGGTGCCAAATGACTCTGGGTTGTATTCCATCGCTGCCTCCATATTGGCCTCGATATTCTTTTGGCGAATCTCTTCGGCGATCAGTCTTTGAGCCTCTGTGTCAAAAGGATGGGCGTTCATCATTCTTAAACGTTGTTTCTCTCTCTCCTGTCTAGCATCGACCTGTTCTTTAAGAACGCTCGCAAATTTCTCTGTAATACAATTAAAGATTAATTAACTCACATTAAGCCGCAATCATTGTTACTTACCGATATTTCCCGAGAGCAGTGCATCGGCAAGTCGTGGATTATTTTGTTTCAACAATGCCAATTGATCTGGATTCGCTAAAAACATGTCTCTGATCATTACTGGATCATCCTCGTTCGCTCTGGCGTTAGTTGTAGTTGGAGAGGCTATTGCTGTGGTAGCTGCAGCTTGTGGACTCCGACCTTGGCGAAAAGTGGTAGGTACCTCAATTGTGCTGAAATCTAAATTAGGAACTGCAAGAGGTGCAAAATTGATTTAATAATTCTAATAATTACATCAATAGTTAGAAACATATGTTAGTTCAAAATAAATTACAATGAAAAACATAAATTTAGATACAAAACAGTTACTTTATGAGAAACTTAATTAGTATATCAAAATTCAAATGAAACCAGAAAAATGTTGCTTTTCTGGTTCCATCATTAATAGCAAAAACATAAATCTATATAGAAAACAGTTACTTTACAAGAAACTTACATATATAAATGCAATTGAAAACAGAAAAATCATAAAATATTCTGCCTACAGGAAAATAATAATTAAATACAGCGCAAAAATATTTAAATAATTAGCACCTTTGGGCAAATTACGACTAATAAAATCAATAAATATATAATAAAATACCTGGCAAAGTTGTTTGAGAGCCTGGCTGCAGCATGTGTTGCAGTATAACTGCATCTCCATCTCGAATTCCATGGTCCCTCAGAGATTTCTTGTTGTCCATCAAAGGTCTTCCATTGAAGGCAATTACAATTTCTTTTGCTGGAAAGCCTGATTCAACCTCACAAAAGGCTTTGAAGTTCTCCAGCTCCAAATCATCAGAGACATCCAAGACAAAAATGTAGTCAGTTAGTGTTGTCACTGTTACCTTCATTTTGGTTTTTAAACAAATTCTTTTTCCAGTCTAGACTAAACGGAAATTTTCTTTCAGCAATGTAAGAGCCGATCACTTTTTAACCATAATTTTTAACCTATAATGAAAACAAACAGTACAGCTCAGCAGATATGACAGAAAGAATCTGAGGAATGACAGTTAATGTCCTGTTGAACAGTTTGGAACACAGTTGTTATGCCTTAGCGGACGGGATGACCTCTGATTGGCTGAAATGGTAGTGCAGTGGTAGTGGTGGCATGTGGTGGTAGGGTGAATCCTTTTGTTTGCGCCCGATTTTAAAAATAACAAAATCTTCGCACTATTCTTTTTGGCATAAACAGAAGTCTTTGTTTCTATTTATAAATCGAAAAGCGTAGGATTTTTATATTCCAAATAAACAAACGTCAGCAGACGTTTATTTTTTGTTTTATCTGCATCATTACTAACAAGTAGTTCAAATAACATACATAACTGATACTACAGTTTTACAAATTCTATATTTTGATAAATTATATAATGTACTGTAGATATAACTGATGGAATTATCGGAATTAATAAATTCTAAAAAGGGCTGTTTATAATTATTTTTTGAACTAATTTTGCTATATCGAGTGTCAAATTGTGTCAAACTCAAAGACCGGTGACCGGTGTCAACGCATGCGCATATCGTAAACAAAACTGCGGTAGTTTTCCGTATATTGTTTTTGTATGTATTTTTGTTGTAAATCACCGGAAATTTCCTTTGATTTTAATTAACAATGTCGCAAAAAGTAGATTGGTCGCAATATGTTGATCAGCAGGAAAAATTGGTCACCAATCAAGTAAGATTAAATTTATGTAGCATCTGACTTAACCTTTATCACCTAAAAAATATGTATGTAGATTTCGCAAATCCAAGTGAGTTCCGCGACGGAAACGACAGAGGAAGGTAAAAAAGATGAACTATCTCCTGCTGAAACAAGTTTACTTCAAAAAATCATTCGTAAGGGTTTGGTAGAAAACAAAAATGATCTTGAGATTCAGCGCAAGGATCCCACATCCCCACTGCATTCTGTAAAGACATTTGAGGCTTTAAATCTGTAAGCGTGTGTTATTTTACCTCCCTTTATAAAAAGAAAATGTTATTTTTAGTCGACCCAATTTATTGAAAGGTGTTTATGATATGGGCTTCAATGCACCATCAAAAATTCAAGAAACTGCTCTGCCAACATTATTAGCAGAACCACCACAGAACTTAATTGCACAATCTCAATCAGGTACAGGAAAAACTGCTGCCTTTGTGCTTGCCATGTTGAGTAGAGTTGATGCATCCAAGAAACATCCTCAAGTAACTTGTTTATCATTTAAAAATATTAGCAAATTCTATTATTTTCTTTTATCAGGTGTTATGTCTATCTCCAACATATGAATTGGCTATACAAACTGGAGAAGTTGCAGCAAAAATGGCCAGATTTTGTCCAGAAATTGAACTGCGCTTTGCCGTAAGGGGCGAGAACTTGACCGAAGGCACTAAACTATCAGAGCATGTTATTATTGGGACCCCAGGAAAAGTTCTGGATTGGGGCATCAAATTCAGAATGTTCGATTTATCCAAAATTAACGTTTTCGTCTTGGACGAGGCCGACGTAATGATAGACACTCAAGGTCACCAGGATCAATGTCTTAAAATCCATAAGTAAATGTTTTTAGCATATAAGCAATTTCAAGTTTTCATGGTTTATGTCTTGCTTTTTAGGAGTTTGAGGCCAAATTGTCAAATGATGTTGTTTTCAGCAACCTATGAGCAGAAAGTAATGGATTTCGCTGAAATTATAATTAAAAATCCACTTATTATTAGATTGAAACGCGAGGAGGAAAGCTTGGATAATATTAAACAATATTATGTAAAATGCAGTAATGAAAAGCAGAAGTACAACGCAGTCACAAATATTTATGGAACACTGACTGTTGGACAAGCTATTATATTTTGCCAAGTAAGTATTTATTGTTGCTCATACAACGTAAGAAATACGTAAATTTTAATTTTGTAATGAGTATAAGGTAATCATATGTTATTTCTAATATGTGCATTACAGACTAGGAAATCTGCAGCATGGTTGGCCGAAAAGATGTCTAAGGATGGACACGCTGTGGCTCTTCTATCTGGAGAATTAAGTGTTGAACAGCGAATTGCAGTTTTGGACCGTTACAGGTCGGGCAAAGAGAAAGTTCTAATAACAACCAACGTCTTATCGAGAGGTAATTTAGTTTTGTTAAACTATGGTGACCATTATTTATAAACATTTGAATTTAGGTATTGACGTAGAACAAGTTACGATCGTCGTAAACTTCGATCTCCCTGTAAATGTTCATGGAGATGCGGATTGCGAAACTTACCTACATAGAATTGGTAGAACTGGCCGTTTCGGTAAACACGGAATTGCGATCAACTTAGTGGATAGCAATCAATCGCAGCGTGTTTGTGAAGACATCGAAAGACATTTCAACAAGAAAATTATGCTTCTAAATGCCGAGGATTCAGAGGAGATCGAGAAGATTGGAGTATAGGAGGTCGCTTGTCTCAAGCCGACGATGGGAATATTTTTATATATATATATTTGCGAAATATGAATAATATAGGCTTAACATTTGTTCCAATATTGGATGTTTTTTATTTTTTTTAAATAATATTTAAATAAATGCGACGAGATGAATTTTCATTGATTAAAAAAAATAATACAAAAATTAACTAACTTTTCTTACAGACAAAACTATATATAGTAAATAAATAAGTTAAAAGTTCCAATAATAAGTTATCAAGCAATAAAGTTTTTAATCTATAATATTTATACACTATCTGGATTTTCCTATTCAAAAAGCTATTTTACATAACCACCTACAAGTCTAAGAATTATTAATTCTAATTATACAATATCACATGAAAGTTACACTCCAAAAAAATATATATTAAATAATATAAATTTTCTTTGTTATTTTAAAAAATCTCCTAGTTCCTTTCACAGTTGGAGTGCAAGTAGTGACTAATTGGTGATGCTCTATATAAAAATAGCATTAGGAAGATACAGTATTATTTTGTTCGTGTTTGTATTGAACATAAATTTATTCAGATTTACACATAAAGCTCAAAGCATAATTCACAAAATATGAAGAAGCAATTTCTATTGCATTTGGATACTAAATAATTACAACAACAAAGTGAAACAGAAAATACATAGAGATCACAGTGATATTGCTTATACATGTTATCCACTCGTATTTATAAACCGACAGAAAACAACAAAAAATTAGAAATAAATATGATTTCAAATCAGTCAGTCCATTGTAATAATAGGTTCATATATCAATAAATGCAGACTCAGTTATATACATTTTGTGCAATAACTTATTCATCGGTTTTATTCCGAATGTATTCGAAATATAAATACATTTATGCCAAGTTTTAAAGTCTGCGACTAATCTGTGATATACTATTAATACCCACTTAAGAACGAACTATTATAAAAATAATAAATATTCTTCATTTTAAATAATAACAAAGGTGGTATGTTTCACCAACTTAATTAAAATACGATCATATTAATTTAGGGTTTAAATTGTGTACTGCTCTCAATGCCTGTGTTTCTTGCTGAACACTACATGTACAATTCGAAGTACGGAGAAGACTAAATATATTGTCCAGTTGAAGAAAAAATAAATGAAAGCGCTATGCCTTCCTCGTTGCTGTCTATAAAGTCATATCTATTCTACCCACTTCACTATTGTTGCCAGTTCTTCTTGGGATACCGGTTCGGTTGTAACTGCTGATGATGCTTTCTGCGTTCCCTATCCCGGATCGGTCTCCAACCCCACGACTTCCGGCGCCTCCAGAATCTGTTATATTTTCAAATAATAGGTGTTCCATGTTAATACTTATTTAGTTAAGTTGTATACAGCAAATAGAGTTCTACTTACTTCGACATTCTACTGTTCTGATCATGATCGGCGCGGGTATGTGCAGAGTGTGATAGAATCCTTGCATCTATTTTTTACAAGAGTTAGTAGATGATAAGCATTAAAACACTAAAGCTAAATTATATGTCTAATATTTGATAAATGATGAATAAAACTACACAATGTAAACTAAAGCTTTTTACACAATGACCTGTTTAAAGAACCCAATTTATGTAGCAAAATGCTTCTAAACACTAAAACAATGATATTTTTGTTTGTAAATGCAAAATTAGTAGTGATTGTTTTTTTTAAATTTTATTGTTGTCCTGAATCTTATTGTAAAGTAAAAATGTACTTACGATTAAATTCATCGCTTTTTCGTTTTCTGTTGTATCGCTGCAGCGGAGATTGAATGGGCAATAAATTCGGTTTAACTTTATTGGGTTGATTGGCGTAGGCATAATTGCCAACAGTGCAGCTCCTTCCTTTACAGGCCATCAATTCCCGCAATTGATCATGAAGGAATTGCCGTTCTTCCGGTTTCAATTGGTCAATGCGATTTTGAAGCTCGAACGGATCTGAACAGTAAGCAAGTTGCATATTACAAGATTAAACAATCCATTGGTCAAAAATCTTACCAATTCTTAAATTATAAAAGGTGGCTAGACCAGTTACGAACTCGCAATAAAGTAAATTGTGCGTTGAATTGATTGTCCTCAAGCAGTTGTAAGTATTATTATTGGCATTCATGCAGAAACAGAACGGCCCGGAAGTCCAAAGTGGGGCGGTGCGCCAGTGGTCGTTATCGTGTCTGAAACAATGAATCTTCTCCGAGAGACATTCTTTTTCTAATTGCGCCTTCTTTCGCAACTTTCTTGCTTTTTTCTTTAGACGCTCCTCCTTAATGCGCTTCCGCTCTTGCCTCGCCAACTCCCTCTCGTCCGGTCTGTGGGGCTCTGGTTCAGTTTCGCAATGGCAATATTCAACTTCTGATTTTTCAGGATCTTCTGTCGTCCCTGATGGTACAATTTCACTTTGAGTATACAAGTCTTGAGTACTATGTTCTGGTCTGATTGTCGTAGTTGTATGTTTGATTTTTCTTGTGACCGTAGTTGAAGGCTTTTCAGTCGTTGTTGTAGAAGTTGTCGTCGTCTCAGTTGAAGTAGTGGGAATAGGAGTAGTAGTAGTAGTTGTTGTACTAGTAGTAGTAGTAGTTGTTGTACTAGTCGTAGTAGTTGGAGTTGTTGCATCAGTTGAACTGGGATCACTATATTCTGTTGTAGTAGTAGAATGTTTGTGATGTTGATGGCGATGATGATTTGTATTTAATCTTGGTTCTTGTGTCGTACCAACAATTTTCCTTCTTTTAGGAGGTGGTGCTTCATCTCCATCAACTGTAGGCCGCTTTCGTTTCTTCGAAGCCCTATGATTAGTGATTTCCAAAGTGTCTATGGTATCGTCCGGTATATTAACATATTTGGAATCGAAATTCGGTCCAGAAATGTCCAAATTATTATTTAAGGTTGGGAATTCGATGCGCTCAGTTGAATTGTAGTCGTTGACATCTGTGTGCGGTTTGGCCTGTTTTAAATGTCTCCTTATCTCTTTCAAATTATCCAATTTCTGCTTCAACCGCTGAATTTCATTGTCGATTTGCGTACGCGATCGTCGCCAAGCCTTTCGGTCTTGGTAAATCATACTGGAACAATTTATCTTTCCATCTGATAGTATAGTACAACCTGGAGTTGTTTCTGATATTTTATTTGTATCCAAGTTGATCTTCACAGTTTGTTCCTCTGGTAATGTAGCATTAACGGCCTGTTGAATATAGTGTTAGTAATGGTTTCTATGGCAAACGTTTTATATTAAGCTCTTACCTGTAGGCCATTAAGAGTAGTTTCGATATTTTTCATTACGGTATCCACGTGTTCTAAGGTGTCGCGTTTCTCTCTATGCGATAAATGATGTACATTGCTTTCGTTTAAGGAGAATAATTGATCGCTTTCAATAATGAATCGTTTATTTCTTTGTAATCTGTTATTCTTTGGTTGAGTAGCATTGATCTAAAATGGAGAGAGATAGAAGTTAATTTGAATAAAAAACAAACAATAGATTAAAATCTTACTGGTATTTTCTTATAAACCAATCCTTGTCTAGTGAAGCAAGCACACTTTTTGAAGGTTTTCTGTGGGAAGTGCAGCTGCTGCTTGCATTTGTGTTTCCTCCATTTCCCATGCTCTTTCTGGCAAAACCATTTTTGTCCATGTACGCAGGGTAATTTAAACTCATCCCTTAGACACTCAACAGCTAAACGCTGAAATTTTGTGGCCGGAGGACCCGGTACAGGTAACAATTGATTATCCAACTGCATTTCTCTAAAAAGCTCATCTCTGTTATGATCAACATTTATTTCGTCCTCATCGAAATCATCTTCGTTGTCATCTATATCCAGTTCGTCCACTTCTAAATCCAATTGATCTTCCAGCGATGAATCGAATGACGGCTTTGAACTTACTTCTTCCAATATGAACTTCGTAAATGATGGTAAAGTGGTTGGTACAACTGTCGTAGAGGTAAAGTTTACGTTTGCAGCAGCAGAATATTTGTTATGAGATTTCTGCTTAGCATCAGGTTTTTCGCGTCGTCCTGAACTGTTAACAATCAAATATATTGTATTTTTAACCGAAAAAAAGAAACAATAAAAAGACTTACCTTTCAATCAAAAATGTATCTGGCCACTTGTACTTTTTCGGCTTTGAGTTTAAGAAGAGAGGCAGAACAGATCTTCCATCCATGTGTGAAGGTGCTTCTACACCTGCCATATCGAGGAATGTTGGGGCCAAATCGATATTCAAAATAATGTCGTCAACAACGGTTCCAGGTTCCACTCCTGGACCTCGTACCAAGAACGGTACGCGTACATCAAACTCGAATGGAAAACTCTTTCCCTAAAGAATATTATTAGAAAGGTCAGTACATGAAGCATTGATGATGTTAATTAAATCATACTTTTATCAACCCAAATTGACCCAAATGGTATCCGTGGTCTGACGTGTAAACGACATACGTATTATCCAGTTCTCCAAGCGCTTCGAGTTCTTCGACGACTCTTTGAACGGCGGCATCGACGGATTGCAGAGTCTGCAGTCTTTTGGTCATTAACAGGTTAGTGAATTCGCGATGAATAGGTTTCATTTTATTCGTTATCTGCAATATCCATTGCTTGTCGGGATTCGGAGCATAGTCATAAGAAGGTGTGCTGAAAGTAAAGTAATATAAAATGTATATTTTTGTTTTGTTTAATGTAGTATTTAATAAAATCAAATAAGTAAATACAGTTTGTTATATAATGTATAATATACAGTAAAATATGTACTCAAATATAAGTAACGCCATTTACAAAATAATGTTACTTTTTATAGAAAAATGTATGTAAATGCATAGGAATTTACTGTGCGTTTAACGTACATTCACTTAACGTACGATAATTTGTGTACTGAGCATATTAAATTACTTTATTTATTAAGTAAAATATGCTGCATGTCTTCTATAAAGATAATAAAAAAGAAAACTAAAAAGTTGTAAATTTTTATTTATGAGTTGCTGGAGGTTTTCGTGTTTGGGAGCCACTTAAAAATGCTGCCGGTGTTCCTCCCTTATGCGAGTGTCTTATTTTATTTTTCAGCAGCGATCCAGTATAACCATGTCAAGTGGACCCCCTTTTTGTTGTTCGCCATCGTATAAGGCTATAGAACTTAATTATGTTGCAGTCCTTAGTGCCGTCATCGAAATGTAATGAAGACACGGCCATATACATAAATTACATACTCGCTTCGTTTTTTTTATATTACAATTTTATTTTTCTTACTATATCTCTTCTTTGGAGAAAGCCAACATACAATATTCCTCCCTGTGTGTGGCATAAACGTTATTCTATGCAAAGCATTGCGTTGCCCACGCCGGATTAGGACGCTAATTAATGTTTAGCCTCCACGGCGAATGAATAGGAATCGGACTGTTTAATGTCCGTCTTTTTCAGCAATTACATTCTTCATTGAAGCTCCTGTTTAATTTACTATGTATTATCTGATTTTTGAAACAGATTCGTTTCTGATCATTTTGCTCGGTAATTGCAGTAGAAAGTCATGTATGAAAATAAAAATATATTAATATATTAACCACTTGACGCGTGCTTTCCACGAGCATCGTACGGGCAGATTTTATTTCAACTTGTTTTCGGAATATATTTGCAGAATATAGCATACCAAAAAAACTTATTGAATAATTTCCAAATGAACCTTTTATTTCTATTGTCGTGTCCCAGGGTTGGAATTCTGGACACAGTGGAATATTGTCTGGTGTTGTTGTTGTGGAGTCTCAGTAGTTAGGAATTAAATAATTCAATTGGTTTAAAATGGGAGTTGTGATCGGGAGTAGGGTTTGTTTATATTGATGACTAAGCGTTCCCACGGGAATCGGCCTCGGTGGTTTTGTTTATTAAAAGACCGGGACAAATTCCTATGCATTTGTTTATATGAAAAAGATGATCGATTACGATTGTACATGTAACGATCTTTATATATTTATAATAATGACTTGAATTCTGTATAAAGGTATAGGAGTATCGATGGGAATGTTTACGCTTGGTCCCTTTTGTTTATATTAAAGTGTATCGAACTGGAGAATCACGGTAGAGATTCCTTTATGCTAATGTTTATATAATAATGCGACTAAGAGACGCTTTGGATGTCTCTAGTTCGTTAATACACTATACTAATAATAACAATTACAATAATAATGGTTGGACACAACACTATTATTTGGTGAATATTTTCTAAGAAAATTTTAAAAATTTGTCAATTTTTGGACACCAATTTTCACCAAAATCCAACTGTTAAGTGGTTAACTATTATATACAATTTGTATTGATGCCATTTTTGCTATGGTAGTATTTTCATACAGATATGAAAAGAATTATGAGAAACTATTAAAAAAGGCAATTTAAAGCAATGATATTACTTTGCAGCCTTTTGCAGCAGTTAAATTTTTGTTTTATTATTTTTTGCTTATATTATTATAATTAATTGATGAACACATTTGGTTTATTACAAGATATTGAAAATCTTCCGATGTTAAGATTCACATTAAAATGAATCGATTATTAGTTAAATAAATTAATACGTTTCACAGATTGCATCAAACAAACATTGATCTCAATAATATTATTTTACTTTGAAGAATGAACGATCTATTTATCTAAATGGTGTTATACTGAAGATGTTTATTGCTGTTAAAAATAATTAATTATTACAGCAATTGAAGAGTTAATAAACTCTAAGATTGCTTTGTTTACTAGTTAGAACAATAAGGAAATGATGTATTTTATAACAATTTGGATTCTTAGAAATTAAGTTATTTTATGAAGCAGAATGATTAAAATGTATAAATGCAAATCGGTTCAATATTCTATTCTTATATAACATCAAAAAAATATGGGTTCTTTTGCACATACAATTTATATTTGTAGCAACAGAGACAACTTGTTAAAAAGTATATTTATAGGTATGTGACTATTTTATATAAAATAATTCAATTAATTAAACGACACAAAACTTAAGGTAAATCTACAAGATTCTAATACATTTACTTTGATTTATGTTCTCGATAACTGCGTAGAAAATCCAGTATCCTTTAAATAAATTATATAGCAAGTCCCCATTAATTGGGTGCGAAGTAAAAGTTAAAGTTGAGCAGTGGCGTGTGTCAATCTTCTAAAACCCCTCCGAAACGCACTCGAATATGCATATTAATGCTATTCAAATAAGTCGTTTCCAGTTTACATTCACCAGATAGCGTTTTGCTATTGCCATTTCATGAGCGAAGATAGTGGTATTTCAGTACCATCAAGAGAACTCGCGCAATAAAAAATTGCGCTCGTGCGTTTCAGTAAAGAACAAGAATAATAAACCGAGCGAAGCCGCACAGTTATTGCATTTAATAACACAATCAATGAGATTGGAATCGAATGATTTAATCGGTTTTCGACGGGTGCAACAAGTCAATTGCTCTCGATATCCAGTCTAGACGAAGTCAAACGACTGAACGATCGACCGTCCAGCGCAAAACAATCTCTCGCGCAAAAAAATATCGAAATAACTAGAACAGAATAAAAATTCCAGATATCAGAAATACCCTCTGCGTATCAGGATTTTTTATTATTTATATTGCGATGGAGGGATGACGTTACTTCCCTCGCAGAGAAAGTTTTCGCGGTGCTCTTTTGGCTCGGATTCATTCATATTTCCAAGTTGAAAATAAAACCTGTTTAAAGAAGGATACGAATATCTCCCCCTTGCGAAAATAAAAAAGGTAAATGTATGCGCGCTCGATGCAAAGAGAACAAGAAATTCCGAACGGCGGATGAGATTCAAGCGAGGCAACAAAAATAACAAGACAACGATAATATTTGTCCTTTTATCCGACTTTACCTCCGAGAAGCCTACGTTTCTGCGGCATATTTTTTTTTGCAAGTAACCCACATTGCATTTATGTCATTTGACTTAAAGGGATTCTGCAGCTTATGGATTTTATGAAAATTATCCTCGCATGAATTGAGCAGAAGATATACTGTTTTATGAAATATTATGAGGGTAATTCAAGGCCGAGAAATGTATATAAGGCAATACAACTACTATTGCATACCTCAATAACTTTTCCAAATTATCAAATGAATCATAATGTAATTATTAGTGTAAAATACATTTTATGAGATTCACCAAAAAATCGTGTAATAAATGCACACATGATATTTAATTTTCAGGACAACTTTAAATGAAATATATTTGAATTACGTACTTTTATGTAAAAAAAAATAGTGACAAAATCATAATAGTTAAAAAATTAAGCAGAAAGCCAATGAATATTTGTAAATTAAAAAATAATTTTCAAAAAATACTCTTTTTTAGCTCTTTAATAATTAAAAAAAATCATTATTGCGTTATATTTCTTGCAAATTATAAGTAAAAAAAATGAGTAGTACTTACTGGTGAGTGGTAACATTGAAAAAGAGGTGCGAATATTGTGGGGCAGAATCTTCTGGTCCATGCGGGGCCGGGAAGGACATCGTCAGCATAACTGGTTTATTAACATTATTCTTTTTCGACTGGCGGAGGAACGCTATAGAATCGTTCGCTATCAGATCCGAGTAGTAGTCCTGCAAAACAAAACCAGAAGAAGAGTGAAAAAACCGAAGAGAGGAATATCATCATCATCATCATTATAATCTGCGTGATCATGATCCATGGATGCAAGGTGACGAAGAGGATGCATAAACTAAGCAATAGTTTAGCGGCGGAAACTAATTTGAACACGCACATTCATAACAGCTTATCTCAAATCGAAATCAACGTGATTTCAAGCCGACCACATAAATAAATATGTGAGAGTCTGTGCTTTTATTTTTCCATTTCCTTTCAATTAGCTGCATCGATCCATTCAGGAGGAACAACCAACAACCAACACTCGACGAAGCGTTTTGAAAGGCGCAAGGTGAACTTGTACATAATTCAATTGTTTGCGCAACTGGTATAATTGATAAATCGCACTGTCTTCGGCTTCGCAACGTAATGAACAAAATTATTAACGCATTTGCAAATGCTATAAATACACTATTTTAATTGCACGCTGAGTTACTTAATACGTTTATGATATATCTAGATTCAACATTATAGTAATCGCTTTGAATATTGCATATTACCCCATGTCCGGACGAATAATTTATGGGAATCAAAAACGAAGATGTGGGATATTGTTTACAAAAAAATAAATAGCATAAATTAGAAGGTGCCAGTTAATTCATTGAAGACAATAGGCACGTGGGATTTGTACTTGATTAGTGTGGGAATTGGTGATTGAGCATTAAATGATGCTTTAACTAAATACCTAAATATTTTGCTATCCTTAAACGGGTATTTCTAAGTGGATAATTATATAATTTGTAATAAAATTATAGTTGATTCAATCAGGTTCAATATGTAATAAATCTAATTAAATATATGTTAAAATCATATTTTCTGATAAACATAAGAAAAGAAATAATATTTTATAGTCATTTAGATAAATTACTTTATGCGTGTTATTCGTTTATCTGTATGGTTTTCTATGGAATTTTTGATGTAGTTACTGTTTTATGTAATAATTTTGTATAAAGTTAAAAAAAAGAAAATAAGTTGTAATAATCCTTTTGTCGGTTCAAACCAGTTTTGTAGAAAAATCGTTTTTTTTTGTATAAACCCTAATATTCACTATATAGTATTAAAAATCGCTATATCAAATATATTTTATAATAATAATAGTTCATATCAAAAATATGAAATTTAATTTCATTCGACAATGTAATCGGTAATTTCATTTCTATTCATTTTATAATGAACACAATAATGAAGCTGTATAAAAATAAAATATTTGATTGCCAATCAATTTATTAACTTTGAAAAAAACCTTATAAAAATAACATAGAAGGATTTATTAATTATTGGTGTTGTATTATTAAACTTAATTTTGGGTGTGAAGACACCGCACAATTTATATTTTGGTTTTATATTTGAGAAAAGCATCAAAGAAATGAATTATTGCAGCATGAATCAATTAGAAAAAAGATTGTATTAATTGAAAATGTTAATGTGTGAAGCGACAGCGCAGAAAGCGTTGAATAAGAATAGGTTAACAGCTTTAATAGAGGTGAATCAGATTATGGTAGGTTGACAATAGATTGTGATAAAGAAGGATGCATCACGGATGAATGGAGGCATGACAGAGATGGATTTTTTTTTTCATCTTACCGTAGCAAATTGAAAGGATATTGACCAGGATTATAATTGTTACCTAGAAGAACATGCCTCGACATTAAGATTATTTGCTTCGGAATTTATTTAAAATTAAATTTCATAATATTAATTACTTCACTATCAACATAAATAAATATAGAATAAATATAGACTTTTAATGTAAGTAAATGATTTAAAACCGAATTGATTGAAAATATTAATAAATATTATATTTGTAATAAGTATAACATGATATAATGGCTTAATAATAAGATATTGGTCTTGGATGAAATTATGTAAAGCTACATTCATTTAATATTAATAAATGTTATTATAATATACAGTGGAACCTCGCTTAACAAGCATAATCCGTTCCAAAATTTCCGGATTTTTTCTCGTATTGTGAAACAGTTTTTCCTCACATAAAATAATGTAATATACGATGCGTTTCATTTTGCGAGTCATTTTTCTTACAATTTATTTTGCTCGTTAAGCGAAATTCTCGTTATGCGAGATTCCACTGTATTCCACAAAATTACTTCATTTATATTCATTACAAATATAATATAAACATCAATAAATACAGAATAATCAATAAACTGTAATTGGATTTTAATTGGTTGGAATTATTAATGAATATAATTTTTGTAATAATCTTGCATTGAATGTACGAATATAGATCAATTAATTTTGTGTTACGCATTTAAGTGGGTAATAAATCAATGTATTAAAATTCTAAGCATGTGCAAATGAATAGAAATAGAACATGATAACTCCTATATTGGAAATATCCGGATGACCGGAGGCTGATCGTAAATTTGAAAAGTTTTGTATGTACAAACGGATAGATTCCATTTTAGCAAAGTAACGAACTTTCACCGCTAATTAAGTTTCATATAATAACACACTTAAATTCCATTAAGTGCGATTTATCGTAGGAGGAAATGCGGAGGGAAGAGAAGAAGAAAAATAAAGGAAGAAACAAACAGCTTGGAATTAATTGAACTCACGCCTCTATTGTACACAAGGAGAGATTAGTTAACCATAAATCCGAATTGAAATAAATTCGTCGCTGCTAGTAGAAGCAGCTAAGCTCTCCATTATAGCGTCTGGATTATTTGGTTGGCTTCTGCCTTTAGCAATTAAGAAACAACATAAATTAATTGTGGCTTAATTAAACTCATTTCACGTTCGAAATGCAACGACTGGATGCAATCGGATTAACGTCCGAAAAGAAGGGTTAATTAAAGATCAGCAAACGCACACAGATTTGCATCTTTTCCTATTTAATGGAAAGCTTGCACATACACGGAGGGAGTACCGAGGAAATGGAACGGCAGACGCGAATTAATCTTCATTCCACTTGGATAATAATGTGTGCGAGGAGTGTGTTTTCAGTTTTCAATGCCTCAATTGCGTGGACTCGAATTAATTGCTCAATTACTCGGCCCGCTATAACACTTTAAATCCGTTAATTAGATTTTAATCTTCTATTATTATTGTTATTACCGTCAAGATCATTAAAGATTGGGCTGTGTGAAGTGCAGAAGTTTCTTGAGTGTATACTGGTTGTTCCGTTTCGGAATTTTTATTACACTTTGAAATTCATTAAGATAAAAAAAAATGTTATTACATTCGTATGTTATTTTGTTTCTGTTTATTAATTATTTTATATTCGTAGAATGTTTCCATACTGAACATTTTATTAATCAAGAAATAGCAAAACTCCTTTAAATTTGAAGATACTCGTAATTTTCATGAGTAATCTTTATTTTTGAATAATTTCTTTTCAAATTTTTAGTTCGGTTATTTCATTTTACGAGGAAGGAAAAAAATTAAAAAAATATGCATTATTATAACGAAAAGAATTGTTTCTTCATATTGAAATTATTTAATAACAATACAAAATTCAACTGTTGTACGAAATTGTTGTTACTAAAGAAAATTCCAACTTTTTTAGGCAAACAAAAATATCTTACATTAAGCAATATTTTCTCTTTTCTACATATTGAATAAAATACATTATATCACAATTATATAAGAATTTCTAAAATATTACCTATTTTTCACAATATTTATCATGATCGTGATAAATATGATAAAATAGTTTTGACCGATCGTAAATTGAAGTTGCATGAGATAGCTGACACCCTGACGATATCAGAAGGCAGTGTATTCACCATTTTGCATGAACATTAGATCATGAGAAAGCTCTGTTCGAAATGGGTACCGCGTTTGCTCCAAGTAGACCAAAAACAACAACGAGTTGATGCAAGAATTGCACTTGGAATTGCTTCCCCAACCACCGTATTCACCAGATCTGGCTTCCCAGCTACTATCTGTTTGCAGACCTAAAAGGGAAAGATTTGGCTCCAATGAAAAAGCTATTGCCGAAACTGAAGTGTATTTTGAGGCCAAAGATAAATCGTTCTATCGACATGTTAGAGAAGCATTGGAATGAATGTATCACTCTTGAAGGAGATTTTGGTGATGAATAAAGTCGAATATTGCCCAAAAGTTATTGTCCTTGGATGTTTCTATTTAAAAAATCAAGTTATAATGTAATTAGCAGTTGTAGAGGCCACGGTTATTTCACGGTTATTCAGTTGTGAACTTATTAAGCTCATTCTATATTGGCTAAGTTTAATATTATTACAATGTTTTTTTTTAATCCAACAAAGAATTTTTAAATTAGAATTAAATCTAAATGCATCTGAGAATTCCAATTCATAGTAATAAGATAATAGACCTTTGCAATGGTTTTTAATAATTGAAATTATGAATATGTTTTTTAATATGACTTATATACATTACATAAACATTATCATTATTATAGTAATAATGAAAAGTTTAATTTTATTTAGTAAATTAAATTGTTAATCTCTTATGACTTCAAATAAATACTCTTCAATTTAGGTCAAATAGATGTTTTGATAAGTTTTCACATTTAATCAACACTAATATATTGTTTGAAATCGTTGTTGTATACTATCGAAATAGTACGATCTTCACGGTCGATGGTACTTATAATAGTGACGTTATATTTTTATAACATAAATATAAATTCTTTGAAATAAATTCCGAAAATCATGCCAACGTATTAATAACAATTTTAACGAATTGAAAATGAAATAACCAAAATTATTCATTTACACATAATAGTATCAATGCATCATTCATTGCAACACATTATTCTAATAAAGAGAAAGCTTTTAATAAGTGCGAAAATTGAATTACTCCACGCAAGTTTGAAACGCCTATAGATTTATTTTGTACTTTACCATTCGTTTAACTCTTTTTTTATTGTTTGTTCTCCTTTTTTTGTTTTCCTCTTTTGTCCTCCAGTTTATTTGACCGGAACGCTTTTCGTTCGACATTCAATTTCCGT